TCCTGAGGCTGCCACGACAAGGAATTGTTCGATTTGTCCGGATTTTGGTGACGCACCCTGTATACAATAATTTCAGATCTTGCAGAAGTAGCTGGCGATTTACAGAAAACTTCAAAGAACAATATTATGCTTGCAGAAATGAGTTATGAATTTTAGTATAAGAGCAATGAGTATTCAAAAATTTCATTTATATGCTACGTCTGCTACGAGATCGCTTGTCGTTCCGACATACGAGCAGAATGGAAGCTCAACCGAAACACACATTGCGTTCCGAATCTTGATATATGCATGTGTGCATGTGTAAATAATTCAGTAAATACAGTTTAGACATGTTATATATATAGAGACGTGTTATATATATACACACACACACACATACACACACACACACACACACACACACACATATATTTATATACGAGGTCTGTTCAAAAACTATCGCGAATTTTGTGTTTTTTCAAAAATTATTTATTTATTCATGAATATCTATTTTGTCCGCTTCAAAGTAATCCGCATCAGATATTATACACTTATGCTAACGTTTTTTCCAATCCTCGAAGCACTTCAAAAAATCATTTTTTGTGATCTTGTTCAGCTCCTCCTTCGATGCCGTCTTTATCTCCTCAATCGTAGCGTAGCGTCGTCCTTTCATGGGCCTCTTCAGGAACAAGAAAAAGTCACAGGGGGCCAGATCTGGGGAATACGGTGGCTGCGGCATCATTAGTGTGTTTATTTTGGCCAAAAATTCGCGCACAAGCAACGATGTGTGAGCAGGGGCGTTATCATGGTGCAAAAGCCAATTTTTGTTCTTCCACAAATCATTGATAAAAATCGAATGGCATGAGCCAATCGATATGTTTAAGTCCTCAGCAACTTCTCTAACGGTGATTCGACGATTGGCCAATACTATTTTCTTCACTTCATCAATGTTTTCGTCTGTTGTTGACGTGCTCGGGCAAGAGCGTCCAGCACGCTCTTCGTCGTTCATCTTCTCGGCCCTCTGAGAACATTTTGTATCACCGATAAACGTTGCTTCGGTCCAAGATAGCTTCACCATATGCCACAGTCAACATTCGGAATGCGTCCGCGCACTTAATTTTGTTTTTCACACAAAATTTGATACAAATTCTTTGATCCATTTTTTGGAATAGGCAAAAATCGAAGACGAGCCAAAATATATATATAATATATATATATATATATATATATGTGTGTGTGTTATTTTATATATATGCATCAATAATTTACTAAATAAAATGTAAAAGACAGAACAGTGTAATTAAAATAATTATCTTCGTTTGTATTCATATGTAAATAATATGGTATGTTTCTTGTTTAGGAAGAAATTATTTCAACAAAATTGAAATAACTAATATTACATTTATTTTATTATTTTTCCTCTCAAAAGAAAAAACTTTGACCAGGGCACGTTTATTGATATGGGCCTGAGTAGGTCGATAATTCAGATCATTTCTATGGTTCAGCGATGTACTTTTCATGACAGCGCCGCTGTCGGAATATCGCGGAACTAAAATACTGCTCAGTTTCATGGCTTTACGTCAATTTCACTCGTAATATACAAACGAAATTTTCGGATGCACCTTTCTCTTATACTAAAACTCCTACCGCGTTTCTAAAAGCATGGGATTGTTCGTTTAGGTTTTCCGCAATTCGCCAGCTACTTTTCATGAACGTGCAAGATCTGAAACTCTTATATGCAACACATATTGTGATGTGTTGACTACAGAAGCTGATAACAAAACTGTAAGTCTTTAATTTTCTTTCGTTTTTCGTATTCAAATGTAATTGGCGATTTGCGTTGTTGTCGACACTTTAATTGTGGAGAAGGATTTTTCAGTCCATAAACACAGTTATGAGAAAAGTGTTTTTAAAATTTAATGATAAAACAGGACACTCCAGCATCCCCTTAAAGAGTTACCGACAAGATAGAAAAGATCAAACTATACCTCGGAATCTACATATAAATCGTTTTTCGTAGTGATGATGTTCTTCCGAGAGTCTATGGTGTCTCAAAGGTACACAAAATGAAATGTTCGTTTAAAATATTGGTATCGTCTATTGACACTCCACTTTATACATTTACAACGTGTTTACACAAATTAATTGTGTAAATAACATATCACAACTGCGAAGCGACAATATCAATAATAATTACGATCTTGTCAACAAGTTAAAAAGTTTACACATTGATAGTGACTATAGTTTAATTTCGTTAGTGATGTGATTTCGCTTTTCACTAATATTCCACTGAATTTGGCCATTAAGAGCACTGAGAAGAGATGGAATTTTAGGATGTTGCAATGTTCCCAAGGATGAATTTTTATTAGCAGTTCAGTTCGTCTTTGAGTCTACTTTTTTTATGTTTGATGGCCGAATTTATAACTAAAACTTGGATACCTATGAGCTCTCCATTATCGCCGATTATCGCTGATATGGTAATGGCTGACCTTGAAGAAAGTATACTTGATAACATTGGTTTTCCGATCAAGTTTTATTATCATTACGTTGACGATATTGTGGCAGCGATTCCTAATGTACAAATCGATAATTTTTTAAATATGCTTAACTCTGTATATCCAAGATTACAGTTCACAATAAAAGTAGGTGATAACAAAATTAATTTTCTTGACATAACTATTTTAATTCATAACGAAAGATTAGTATTTTACTATTAAAAATCGACCTCTTCAGATAGATATCTAAATTTTTTATCCAGACATCCTCTTTCATAGAAAAAAGTCGTGATCATAGGCATGGTTGACAAAGTGTTCTCCGTTGCTAATCCAAAATTTCATCAAAAAAATTTTGAACTTATCATCAAGATTTTGTTAAACAATGACTATCCTCTTGAATTTATTTTTAATACTATGTCTCAAAAAATAAAATATTTTATAAAAAATAGTAACATGATAAACAAAGATAATAAAAAAAAAGTGACATTAACAATAAAATCATTTGGTTTACGATCCCCTTTGTTAACAACATTTCAGATAAATTCAAAAAGATTGGTATCCAAAATTGCATTTTATATATTAGGTGCTGGAATTAATTCGTAGCGTTTTTAATGAAAGAATGTTATTTATTTCACATGAGCATTAAAAAATACATTAATGAAAGTACTTCCCATCACTTGTAAAACGCTACGAATTAATTCCAACACCTAATAGTATCAATAAATTTCGCAATCTAATCGAAGTGCAGGAAGATCTTTTATCAACCAGTGCACGGAGAAACGTCGTATATAAGATTGCTTGCAAAGATTAGGCTTCTTATGTAGGTCAAACTAGTCATCAACTACATACACGCATTTCAGAAACACCAAAATCACATTAGAAGAAATACATCTTTTCATTTGGTCATTACAGACCACAAATTGCAATTTGACATGAATTTGATTGGAACAAGGTACAAGTTTTGGATATAGAAAGAAATTATAACAAAAGATAAATGTCTGAAATGTTGCATATAAAAACACAAAAAAGGACCTTAAACCTCCACAAACAGATACTGAATTTTTAGACCATGCCTATTCGTCAGTTCTGAATACTATTTGAAATTAATGTTTACAATTATGTTTCTGATCGTTCGAATCAGCGCTTGTATTGACTATATATTGTTATTTGTCTGCGTGTAACCGAAGAATAAATTATTACATTCTATTCTTTTCATTTGAAGAAATGATTTGGATCACTCTTGTTACTTCAGCTAATTGTTAAAATTAATATTATATTCTACTGGTTGACTGTTGTATGTGTACACCCAAAGTGATGCATCAATTCGATGAGTATCAATCTGCTTTCTTCTTGTTGATTCTTTTTTAAAAAAATAATTTCATATATATTTGTGATATTCTTATTCTTATTATAGCTTCACTTTATAAGAATTCTTGTTTCCTTCTAGCCTGTAAATTGGGATGAAGCTAAGGAACCTCATTATGATGGTTGGCATCATGGTTGATGCATCACTTGTGCTAAATTAGAATTATATTGATACCGTTGAGAATGATTGAAGTAAATCGAAACGCGTATAGATTTTACACTAACTTTTATATTGTTATACTTTACATTAAAAATGGATATATAAACATTTCCATTTTTTATACTTACGCAACGACCGCGCTGACTCCTACTTCCCCTTACATTTTAGTCTTTATATTGTTAAATATAATTTTTATATTCCTTAGAGTATTCACGATGAATTATTTGTATCTTGTTCCTTTTCTTCGAAATACTGCACCTGGCTAAATAATTCTTTCCATCCTTTCCTTCTTTTTAAATATACAATTTCATAAATGTTTTTTAAAGATGTTAAAATATATGTAAGGATATCTATTCATAATTTTTGTATATTTGCAAAACTTATAAAAATTAAGCCACATACAAACGATCTATCATGTACAGTAAAAGGAAATTGTATATATGTTAAGAGTTAAACGTATAATTTAAAGATATTTTATTAAAAGTAATACAAAAAATAAATTTATTTAAATAAAAATTTAAAAAATGCAGTATACATATATTATGTAATATGACAGTAACTTGTTTCATTCATGAAAATAATGCACAATAATTATTATAGACATATATTTTTTAAGCTTTATTCCTCTACTAAAAAATAGAATTTTAACATTTTTTTACATTTATCGCTAAAATTTGCATGTAATATTCTATTAGTGTCATGTAATATTCTATTAGTGTCAAGAAAAAAAAGTAATGAAAAAGTAACTACTCGTTATATTTTGAATAACGATAATGGTAATGAGTTACTTTTGCAAATTAATAACGAGTAACAGGAACGAGTTATTTTTTAGGAAAAAGAACAATAACGAGTTATTTTTATAAACTAATGTTATCAACCCTGGTTTTTGCTTTATAAAGCAAGTCACGCGCATTCAAGAATTAAGTTAATTTTGTATAAAAAATAGATCGGTTTATTTTCCTTACCCTTCATAGCCGGCGTCATGTACCACGTTTTTGCACAAGATCTACTGGTGAATTGTCCCAAGAGTCCCTCTAAAAGATAAAACGGTTTCCCGACCAGGATCAAGACTATGATATAAGGTATTAGAAAGGCACCACCATCATTCTCGTACGCGGTGAACGGAAACCTCCACACGTTTCCTAGTCCGACGGAAGTGGCTATACAGGCCATCAGAAACTCCAGTCTACCTCCCCATTCCGCCTCCTTAGTAAACATTTAATAATAAATTTAAGATTTATTTATTAATTTAAGATTAATTTAAGATTTAATTTTGTATAATTAAAGTTATATTTTTGTTGATTTGACGTGATAATATATATAATACGTACTAAACTTTCAGATTGCTCCTGCCGTTTATCGAGCTGCGTCATTGTCGCGTAATCAAGTGGAGTATTTCCGTGAAAATCCGATTTTGAAGAGTCAAAATCGTCCAGCTGGAAGGCCTCGTTAATATAGCCATTTTGTCTCTAAAAAAACGATTTGCAAATAAAATTAACAGGAAATTATCAGGATTTTATGTGTTTAATATTATTCTAGAAAGCCTTACATAAATGCCATCTTCTATCCTTTCCATTTTAGTCATTGTGTTGCATAAAAAATGTGAGTCGCGAAAAAGTAAAAATTAATCTTCAAACTTTCCGTCCTTAATATAATGTCAATTGTCGCGTGCGAAAAATTGCTCAGAACTTTTTTTACCAATGAATATCGAAATCAGGACCCTATGGTAATCACTCTCGCAGGCGAGCAATATCTTTATCTTATCCTCATTCACGGATATACTGTGCGTTAGAACTAAATTAAAGTAGTTTTTTTACAATATTTTGATGATCACGATCTTCTTCTTCGCATTTTACAATATTTCATAATATTTTCGTGAGATTTTATAACAAACTAGATGTTCTGTAAGTTGGTAGGTAAAGTATTAACACTTCACACGTAGCAGTCACTTGCGAATTCTAACTTGGCGCACAGATATTTCTCTTTTAAAATATCTCTAATTCAAAATTTTCATTCAACGGAGAAAACCAAACAGAGTCTGCGAAGATACTATTGAATGACTGAAAATTTCTTTGCCCCGCTGAAGATAACGTCTCATACGGAAGTGTTCGGAATAATTTCACCGTCGCGTTTGCAAATACCTGACTGACGAAAGACATAGATACTGGTGCACTCCTTGTTCGCAATGCTCGAGGACATGACTCTGCTCGCGATCTCGAGATCTATGCCACTCGTTAGCCGCTGATTGATCAACAAATCCAGTGTAAAGTCGGATAAATCTGTCCTTCGATTAGATTATCAGTTTTCCAAGTTGCACATACGATACTGCACATGTATCACGTGTTCCACCTTTTATTTTTTCTACCTGATGTAACGATCGCGGTAAACTAGCATTTTTTTAAGTTCATAGATATATCTACAATAAGGATCTTCCGTGGAAGCACAAATCGTGGAAGCATATTTTTTTCAACAAAATTGACATTAAGATATGTCAAATCAATCCATATTTTATTCATTCATCTTAAAATTTATGTTTTAAAATCCTTAAATTGTGTAATTTTGATACTAAGAAATGTTGAATATCAATTGAGAAGCTGGATTCTATAAGGAGATATGCGTAGATTTCGCGAGAAAAAAGTATTGTTTGCAGGTTAATTTTGAACATCACTTTAACTTCGATTTTGATGATTGATTCTTGTAGAGACTTTCATAGTGCATCTTTTTTGTGTTTAAACAAAATTTGTAACATTTTTATTTTCAAGTTATAAACAAAAAAAATAATTTTTTAAAATAATTTTATAAAATGAAAAAATTCCATTATATTTTTGTGTTTAATTCGCCATATCTTAGCCAAATATGAATATTTTTCTTTGAAATTTTAAAATAGTACTAACATGAAATAATTTTCTTACGAATATGCTAAAATTTTAAGGATAAGTTGAAATGCTCTTTATGTTAGTGTGTAATTAGAAACATATTGACCATCTAATTTTTAAGATAATTCCAATTAAAATGTGCAATTTTAACATATAATGCATATACATAACTCAAGTTAACGTTAGATTTTTAATTATAGATACATCCATATCATTCTAAAGATTGTTACAAAAACGAGCACATGATGGAGGAACATAAAACGGATATTATAAAAAAAGATTATAATTTTACCGTTTAGTTAGGAAAATAGATTTGTGAAAAGAATACAATGTTTCGATTTTCTTTGGCGAGTGAAAGGAGTAGTGAAGAGTAGAGGGGATAGCCAGCGAGTATCTGGCAGCACTGGGGTTAGTTGCGTCTATCTGTATTCATTTTATTTCCGCATGTACGTGTGGCCTTAGATTGGACAGACACAAGCGAAAGTTTTTTTTTTTCTGGCGGGAATGAGATATTGCAAACGCTGCGGTGAGACCTTTTGGACGGTATCGTCGCGCTAATTACCTTATAATAGAATAAATTTTAACATGTTTCTTGAAATATAGGACATATATAAAAAGTTTTCGGAATATTTCACAGCCGAATGCTGAAAACATTTTTCTTGAATTCATAGTTTTATTCATTCGATTACAAAATTTTCGTAAAATTTTTGAATTATCAACTTTTATCTATACTACAATTTTGTTTATTAGTTAAGGAAGTTTTTTTGAATAAACTACCGCAAATTTGAAGTCTCCGATTTTGCTATCGATTAGTACACTACTGTATTTCGATGCATTGATTACAAATATAATCATGAAAATTACCAATGTTATTACAATGTCATTTTCAATATCAAATTTGGAAAAACTGACTTTTTACATTTGACAACATTTTTTCACATTTGACATTGAAAATGATCTTATCACTAATTTTCATAGTCGTATACAGTGAATGCAAGAAGTATTCGTACAAGGAAATTTTTTATAAAAAAAGTTTTAGTTTTGTAGAAAATAAACATAATAAATTTAATAGATTTAAAAATAAAGATATCAAAGTTTCATTCTATAGTATGAATAAATTAAAAAAATTTATCAGAGTTCACAAAAACTCTCTTCCGCAAAAAATAATGTAATATATAAAATTAGTTGTAAAGAATGATGTTTCCTATTCCGGACAGATGAGCAAACAATTAAAAGTAGGATATAGCTGAACATAGAAACCACATAAACATCTCTACTCATTGTATAACCGACCATAGAATGCAGTATAATCACGAATTTGATTGGGACAACGTTAAAATATTAGATAAAGAATCTTTTCTAGAAAACGCTTAACTTCTGAAATGCTTAATATTAAAAAACAAATAAATGGTTTCAATTTAGAAATAGACACAGAGGGTCTTCATAAAGCATACATACAGATAATCAACAGTATTTGACTTTCCAGTATCATTCGTTTATTCAGTCAGTGGCCTAGTTTCCACCGAGGGTTTAAACCGGATCAGAATGTAAGAACCAACCAACTATAATCGAGTATTCCCCTGTTACAGTCGAACGACGGGAATGCTTGACTGTAGTTGGTTGGTTTTTTTTATTCAATTTAAACCCTCGGTGGAAACTAGGCCAGTGTTTGTCCCTTGTCGTGTTCATTTAATTTATTATAATTTATTTCATCTTCTGACTACGGACATTTTATTATACAATTTTATCATTTTGACACAATTTTCATTAAGGTATATGAGCAATAGTCAGATTACAGTTGCTAAAATATAATATTTCAAATAACATAAAATAAAGTAAAACATACATTTCGACCAGAGAAGATTTGGTCATTATCAATGTTATTAAATATAAATAAATATAAAATTACATCCTAACGATTATATACGCAAGTTATATTAAACAACTATAATTAATTTAGTTATAAAAAATAAAATGATAGTTCGTAATTTGAAGAACGAAACAAATAATTAATATAGTTTCAATAATACAATATTCCAATAATAGTTTCAAGAATAAATGGAAAGCTCAAATTGGTTATTATCTAACGATTTTATATCAACGTTATACTTTAATGTGCTTCCTAACAAATGACTGATAAACGAAGAGATATAAGACAAGGAGACGTTTCCATTTATTCTGTAACTTCCATCAGATTGCAATTGGATTTCTAATTCACAAAGATAGAAAGTAATTTTTATTAACTCATTGTTTTATTTAACATGATGTAATTCTTTTTTTGATATAATAATTTCATTGTATTTATATAGGTTTTATAAAAATTTTTTACACCTTTATCGTTTATAATATACTTCTAGATTTCACATTAATGTAAATTGTGTAAAAGATTCTTATGAAGATACTATGAATGGGATGACTATTGCAATCGGCTAGTCTTTTTGGAGTTCCAATTATATTGTACTACCTCTCTTTCAATAATATATTGTATATCAATGGACATTTATGATAATAAAGAGAATATGCAGGTCTTATACTTCAAATTGTGTATCATTTTATTTTTTGTAATTAAATTAATTAGATGTAATTATAGTCGTTTAGTATAATTTGCGTATGTAACCGTTAGGATGTAGTCTTATATTTATTTATATTTGATAACATTGATAATGATCGAATCTTCTGGTAGGAACGTTTTACTTTATTTTATGTTATTTTAAATATTATATTTTAACAATTGTAATTTGGCTATTGCTCATATACTCTTGTGTCACATCTATATTGTTTTGTTACAAGCAAGCATTATAAATTTAGTTTTATTAATTTTCATTAATTTATATTATTTATTACATTGAATTTTATATGATTATTATACTGACTGACTTTAAGTCTTTTTATTGTACACGTCTGTTATATTCGACCGACTGATAACTATCCACGATCGGTAAGTTTTTACTAGAGTAAGAATTGACTCTGCTAATTATTTGAAAGAGAAAAATTATCTTGAATTTCCATTGTCACCTTAATCAGATTCTCCACACGATCTTCCAACCGTCATGTGAGCAATTTTAATTATTCTGGAAACAGCTTACCAAAAAGCGTTCTACTTTTAAAAGATAAAGTTACATCTATAATTAAATTTATTGAATTTCTGAAGAAGGCTCAAACAAGCAGCCGAAATATGTCAAAATTTTGAATTTAAGACAATAGATTTGAATAAATTCATGTAATTATCATTAGGACATATAAAATAATTTTACGCAACAAGTTTCTGCGATTGATTTTTTAATACTCTATAAATTTATATTATAATTGTTTAAAGAAAAATCGAGTATTATTGAATTTTAAAATTTAAATACCCTAAAAGTTAGGATTAACAATTATCCGAATATCTCCGAATATCCCGCAGGAAGATAGAAGTAGATCTGAGATAAAATATTCGATCAAAGTGGATCTTTCGGATCCAAATTTATTTCAAACTGTTTAGATATCGGAATCATTAAAGTTTAATGATTAAATCATTTATTATTTGGATCTCCCAACATCTTTTTCTATACATACAGGGTATGTATATACCTATGTAGAGAGTAAAAGAATGAGGACGCAAAAGAAAGAGACAGAGAGAGAGAGAGAGAGAGAGAGAGGATGAGAATGTAAAAAAATTTTATTTGATTTTGTATAGAAACAAGCTAGAAATATACAGACTATGTGTTTACACTTTTTTAATTAATTAAATTATATCATGTTTTTATTAGTATTAATAAAGTCCAATAGTTAGTTTCTGAGAAATAAGGGAGTGCCACTTTAGAAGACCTGTATATATCAGTATTGGCGACTTTCCTCTAGTGAAATCTGTAATTTAATCAAAAACCGCGCGCGCGGATATAGTGGATTCGAAATATTGTATCTGGACGGATTCGGATATCCGAATCCGAATCCGCAGAGTATTGTATATATGCATTTCAATATTCGGGTATAGAATTCGAATAATATCATTATCCGAATATCCAAGTACCCGGATATACAGGCGCAATCGTCAACCCTAATTTTGAAATAGAACACATATGTTAATTAAATTTACATACTGAAAAAGATATCAAAAAAATCATTTTTAATAAATAAAATCAATAAAATAAAATATGTGTGTATCAACAATATAGTATCTCAAGAATGATGTGAAAATCTATTGGCGTTAAATTTAAACACACACGCACACAAGCTCGCACGCACGCACGCATGCACGCACGCACATATTTTATTTTATTGATTTATTTATTAAAAATGATTTATTTGATATTGTTTTCAGTACGCAAACTTAATTAACATATGTGTTCTATTTTGAAGTGTTATTTTTGAGTTTCTAATATCACAATAATAATTATAATTATAATTATTATATAATAATAAAAATTTATAAACAGTGAATGTGAGGCAATATGTTTTGTAGGCAAAGTCTTATCTACAGCTCTATCCTGTGTGTTACGGCTATCCCTGAGATCAAGCGTCTCCGCGCACTATCTAAATTCTAAATGCTATGAAACAAAAGGAATGAGGATGATGATAGGTAAAATTGGTCAAAACGTGTAACTCGGCTGCAGGCCTGCGCTAAGATATTGCTAAGATTTGCCAAATGATCGTAATTTTTCTAAAGCCTCCATTTCTTTTGCACATCATTAACATCACGTTATCCGGAAAATTATCGTTCAAATCAGAGATGAGAGTTACTTGTAATACTACATTACCATTATCGTTATTTTTTAATAATTACAATTTAGTAATAATTACGTTATGATTTTTAATTATGGCACCGATAATAGATTAGAAATCAGTTTTTCGAAAGGTAATCATTAAAATTAATCATTATTTATTGATTCGCAGAAATAAAAAAATAACTCGTTATCTTAATTATTACCATAATTGTTATCTTATTATTAAGAACCGTATATATTGTATTTTTCACTGAAAATGACTTTGTTTTCAAGGTTAGAACGTTTGAATTTCATATATATGTATAATTTATTTACAATGTAAATAATAATTGATTAATGATATCTAGCTTGGCTCTAATAGTAGTCCATTTTGTTTGTTATATTTGATTTATACATACATTTGTGTGTGAATCTGTTATGTTATATTATTATTAATTTTGAAGGGTAAGTTGATGACTTAATTGACTCGCTGATGAAGTTAGCAGGAATTTGTTGATGAAACATGCTTCATACTTTTCCATTACATTTTTGTTAAATTATTATTAATTGACACTTATAAATTATTATAAATAACTATAGATATTTATGTATTTGATTGTAAGAAAATCAAAATCCACACGGCACACTTTCCCAGATAGCACACGACATTAATAAAATGTATATGAACAAATATTCACAAAGAATATTTGTACATAAGAATATTTGTACATTCTTAAAATCATTATTTTAAGCACGACCGTATATGTGAATACATCAAATACGATAAAAAAAGCCAAGATCGATCAAATTTTGGATGTTACAAGTAATACACTATCATATATGCATTTATTCCAGATATAATTCCCCGATAAACCGATAACATTCGGTTTCAACACAATCATTTCGAAACGCTAATAATCCCCCCCTAAATTAAATTAGAAAGAAAGAAAGTATGAAATTTATTGCGAAAAACATTACCTCAGCCAGGATTCGAACCTGGGACCTCTCAACTTTCCGGGAAGAGTGTCTTAGCCAGCTCGACCACTGAGGCGATTCTTAAAATGTTTTATGAACGTCTTTAGAAGTGTTGTATGGATTATCTTAGAGATGTCCAACGGACGTCATTTTGAGATATTGCGATAATCTTGTGATATCCGTAGATGGTCTTGAGTATCCAACGATAGCGATGAGATTAAGTCTTACAAATAGATTCGAATCTGTTGAAGCAGTTTCGAATTCTCTATGATCACTTCGAAAAATAATAGCAATATTTCCGAGTAAATTTGAACCTAAACGAAATAGGTTCGAACCTTTTATGATTACCTCGAAAAATAAAAGCAGTACTTCCAAGTGGACTCGAACCTACATCAAATATGCCGAAACTTAAATATAATAAACTGAAAATTATAATCACGCAAAAAAAAGAACATTTTGTGAAATGCCTTCTCTCTCACCTTTGGGATTAATACATATTCGAACTTACAATTATGTATCTACTATGAATCGACATTTATCGATTCGCATAAAGAGATTAGAACTATAATCGACTTATCAAATAACTGTTTCAATAACTGTTTCAATATAAAAACCTCAAGAAAGAGCGTTAGTAAAGACATTATAATCGGATACTATAAGAATGTCCGGCATTTTCTTCAAGTAGTGAATACAACATTCAAATGTACATATATTTGTAACACGTACATAATATAATAACACGTTCAAGATCGAGAAGAATGAAGGAGTATCTATACTATAATTAAATGCTAAAATGTATCTTGTACCGTTCGAAATGCTCGAAAGTAAAAATGCATATATATCATATGAAATTTTATTCAAAACGAAATTTTTGTTAAAAATATTCATAAAATATTTAAAATTAATAATAAAAGTTATACTTTATTTCATTTTCCAAATATATATTTATATTTTATAATACTGTTTGTAAAATAAAATATTTTAACTTTTTTTTTGTTTTTATTCAAAGTTTCTCTTTCTGAAGTCAGGGAATTTTTTTCAAAAAATGACTGGGAAAATCAAGAAAAATAAGGAATATTTTCTTTTGTATTCGCTAACAACCCTGTTAGAGTTCGAGTACTTGTAAAAAATTCGATTCTATAAAATATAATAAATAAAAAGTACTTTGTCAGTATATGTCTTAAACAACATCCGAGGAATTTCAAAGAAACTCAATGAGATATCACAAGTATATATGCATGTGTATATATGTGATTGTTATTTAAAATAAAAGGGAAATGTTTTAGGTTATCATATTATGGAAGCGAAAAATATGTTATTGTCTCATTATTATATAATGAAATAAAAGATTAATTTGAAAAGTATATGTCACATCTTTGTAATTTATATATTCTTAGACTACGTTCACAAACGTTACCCGAATGCCTCTGTTTGTTTTATCCTTGTTGTTCATTTAACGTTAAACAAGAATAAAATGATACACAAGTTGCATATCTGAGTGACACGTCATCGTACACGGACGTGTGTTCTAATAATGTGTAATCTTTATATTTGATTTTAACAATTCTACTTTTTAAGTTTCAATATGTTCAACAAAGTTTCAGTGTAATGCTTCCGTGATGATTAACAACGCTGCATCTTTGTCAATTTGCGAGTAACTTAAACATTATGATCATGAGCTAATTATACTTGTATCATTCTTACTGAGGACTCCAAAGAGAGTCGAAACGTTCAAAATAAAGAAAAGATCAATCTAATATCTGAGTATTGATTGTCCAGTAAATAATTGCGCTGTTTATCGTTGCTGACATTCATTAGCCTATTATATTTATCTTTTTGTATTGTTTATGATACACAAATGCACCTGAATAATATTTTCAAATGCAGCCTTAGTATAATATTTAATATAATAATCTTTATAAGCTTCGTATAAGATATATCTTAATTGATACGCAGTATGTCGTACCGTTTATATCCAAAGTAACTAGGGAATTCTTTACTTCTAATCTTTTAATTCTGACACTTTCCAACTGCAAACCTTTGTTGTATTTTAGACATCCTTAGGACATTTCTTAGAAAACTGTTGTGTGATAAAAGAATTTAAATATGGTAGAATATTTTAAGATAATTATAGGATATTTTATGATTTCTTACGATATTTTACAATATTTTCTTTGAATATCTCGGATGATATATTCACGGGATCGCTTTGTCAATATGGGACAATTTGGGATATCCTCAGGATAAAGTGTATTATGTAGGAATAATTAGTCTTTGTTATGTGACTGTCGATTGTATAATATCTGTATTAACTTATATAAAAAATATTCATATTCTTTGCATCTGTTTTATATACTTGAAGGCGCACCTATGCATAATAACGATGTAGCAAAGTATTCATTTGCAAGATGTAAACAGATTAAAGATATAGAATTATATATAGATAGAACTAGATAGAACTAATAAACTAATTTCATCCAACATTAAATCAGAAACATAAACGCGCGCAAATATCTTTATTATATTTCTTTTAGTTATTTAAAGATTTTACATTGACTCGTTATACGGACTGTCATGTTATTGTAATTTAAATGAATATTTAATTTTAAATGTATTTATTATAACATTGAAAATGACCTAATTAAAATTGAAACGTTTATTTTAATGAATTTATGTTTTTGTAGTTAATTCAGCATTAAGATCTAGCTTGGTTTGTAGCCCTTGTTTTATTTTTAATTTTACATTGAGTTTTGTGTTAATATTCCATGTATAATATTTTGTGTGTAATCGTGTCAAACTTGTAGTGAATTCAATTGAACGCATTAGTGCGCATTAGCTCATGTTAAAATCGTGTTGTATACTGATTAATCTGAATGTAAAAGTAAAATGCAAGTATTCCGAATTATATAATACATATTTTACTTAACCAAACAATGAAATGTTAAGAATTTTGCGATTTAATTCATTTCTATATTTATTTAGTAAATATACATCTTTACATCAATTTGTGTAACAACGGCTCTAATATGCATTGAATGCGTCTAATTAAATTGATCACTATTAGAAAAATTAGTTATTAGATTAAAGATACGATTCATAAAACTGTTCGCATACACACGAAAATGACTGTCAATTCGATGTCGCGATGCCTTTGTCAGGCTTTTCAATTAAAAAATTAAACGATCTTCTTTCTTGACAAAAATGACACAATACGACGCGGCACGACAAAATCGTATATTTCAGAAAATTACTCTTAAATCGGTCCGAAGACGATCAGTGAATGATAATCGATTATGGACAATTTGGTCGATGTGTATTATCTGGTCCAATTGATTGTTTGGCAGATTTTAATATTTTTGCGAGTACGTATTTTACACCTAACCCGTTTGTAAAAGAAACTGACAGTAATATTTCTCTCTATCATTATATTTTTATGTTAGCTGTTATAGTTATGATGTACTTGTTATCGCTTCGACAACAATTGAGTTATGCGAACTCCTTATTTCTCGTTACATTATGTGTAACATATCCGGCTTGCGATTACAATTTTATAAGTTATAGGACTTCGTCTTCCGCGAATTTACATGGTTCGCTCCTGCGGAGGAAGATCTCAATATTACGAGTTCAAAAATACGCGCCGTCGCGCCGCAGCATCCCGCCACTGATCTTTTCATATTCCTCGTCATTTGTGGACTTCTTTTCACTTTCATGATATTGTCCACGAATTCTCCCAAGAGCGAAGAATCGCGCTACAACATAAATAACATTGAGACGTAAGTTCATATATTGCTTAATAAGGGAACACTGAAAAATTTTTTTATATTTGTAACTATATAATTACATTTTATTATTGTATAATTATAATTATTACTACTATAATGTTATTAATAATAACTATATACATATATAGCTTTATTAACAAATGGATATAATTGGCCACTTAAAAATGACTATAAATATAGTTGTTTCCTATTCTTGTTTCCATAAAAATAATTGCAATTACTATAAATTATAGTTAAATATTTTTTCGGACAATCATTTAATTGTCTAAAAAATGATTATAATAGTAATTTCGGTTACTGTTATGGTACTTTCAACCATTTTTATAATAATTGTAATCGTAATCATTTTTGATCATAATCATTTTTGTCACTGTAAATGTAATTATTATCACTAATAGTATAACAGTAATAAATGTAGATTATAATTATAGTAACATATAAGTATATGGTTACAAAACTAACAATATTTCTCTTACGAGAAAAGCTCGACAGTCTATAATCACCTATCAACTTTTTGGGTGTGTAGTATGCACTAAAATTTGTGCTAAGTAAATCACAGAATTCACTCATTCTCGAGAAAATATTTTTTAGCATCATTAATACTCTACAGAAAACGGGAATTTAAAAAACTTATTATATTTCTTAGTGAATATTTGATATAAGAATTTGCAATAATTGTTTTAGCAATTAACAATAATTAACTTTTAAATCGACATTTATATCATAGAAGCAGTTAAAACACAATAATTTGTTGCAAGCACATATAATGATTGTCATTTTATTTACTTTTTTTTTAGTCTTTACATTTTGTTTCATTAACAGAATTTGAAAAACAAACTATATTAATGTTTTTACAAAAGATTTTTTCCTCTATTATTTAAGATGCAAACCATGCATATTTTAACATATCATAAAAAACTGGTGCGCTCAACTGATTATGAATTAAGGAATGTATTTTAATAGCATCCTCACAATTGATGATTTCTGTTGCCTTTAAGGAGGTACATACAATGTACCTTTGTGTAATTTTGTAATTTTTCAATTAAATTCATTATAAAAATATATAAATCATATAGCTGATATAATAGATTCATAACAGATTCATGAGAGTGATCTGTTAAAAATTTCAAATATACGACAAAATTTTTATAAATGATGGGGATATCCATTTTGTTAAATAAATTATTTCACTAAAATGTACTTCTTTATATCGCATACGCGGGATATTTTATAAACAGATTAAAAATTTCATTAAAACATTATAAAAAGCGCATCAGTCTTTTGTGACATGTTA